AAGAGGCAGAGAGAGAGACATCAGAATAAACTTTTTGGGTCCTGGGATGTCAGCCACCAGCCCACTTTCAAGATCAGGTAGGCTGTTTCTCTTTATTGGAGGCAAGGTGGACCAGCTTGTACCCCTCCTATGGCCTCGTTTACTGGCTGAGCTAGTGGAGTCTGGCTCTAGCTCACTGGTGCTTCGCAACCCAGGTGATGATCAGGATGCCCCTTTTAGCCTGTGCTGTATTTCTAGACTGTAAGACGCTGGTGTTGCTGCTGTGTCCGTTTTGTTAACGGTTCACCTTTATCCTCAGGTCTAGAGAGGAACCAGGGGGGACCTGTTTTTGCTGGGGTGTCCAGAAAAAGCGGCGTCTCTGGGCTGAGAAGGGGTGGCTGGGTTTGTAGTTATCACCTCTGGAGCCTGCTGTCCTGCTTCTTTCCAGCCAGCTCATTCAGAGAGCACTCCAGGGGCCATGGGAGGGCTGGGGAAACTCCTTTGGCCTTCACTGGCGAGCTGTGGGGAACTATTTTTGCTTGCTGTCTTGGAAAAGCAACTTCTCTTTTCGTAGCGAGTGGTATTTCTGGTAGATGAGGACAATAGGGCTTGTTGGCTTTGGGAGTAGCTTTAAAAAAAAGTTGGCAGTGGCCAGCAGCTGCTGGCAAGTCCAAGTAATTGCAAACACGGCTGTGGCTGTTTCTGTGCCAGCTTCCAGAGCCAAGTTAACCATGCTCAACACGATGTCGAAGATCCGTGGACAGGTGAAGAACCCCGGCTACCCGCAGTCAGAAGGGCTGCTGGGGGAGAGCATGATCCGATATGGCAAGGAGCTGGGCGACGATTCCAACTTCGGTGAGTGTCCTGTCAGGCTGCTCCCCTTAGGAGAGTGCAGATGAGGTGGAAAAGGCTGGCTCCGAATTTCCAAACTGTAACTCTGAAATTCCTGAAGGGCCGTGTGACCCTTTTGTATCACGTAACAGCGTGTGCCTCAGTCCCAGACCAGGGGTGAATGCCAGATCTACAGCAGTCTTGGAGCAAATGCATGGCAATGGCCATGCCTTATTTTCTGAAAGCAAAATCTAGGGCAAAAGCCACAGCTCGTGGCTGGTGTCGATGCTGTCAAAAGCCTCCCTGTTCACTGGCCCGTACCGGGGCCCTTGGGAGGGGTTGGGAGACTTCCGCTCAGGGTGGCAGGGAAGGGAAGAGGAGAGCCCAAGTGTGCTGGATCGTAGTGCTTTGCATTGGGTGCAAAACCACCTCCTAATGCCTTTTTTTAATTAAACATTTGGAAAAGTCTGCATGTGGGAAAAACGACCTCCTTGCTTCTAAACTGAACAGTGGTGACGTGGAAACTAGATTGAATGAGATTAGGAGTTTTACTATGCAATTTCCAGCTAAAACTCTGCTGTAGGGAGGCCGTAGCCAAGAAATCTTTCCGTATAGTAATTCCTCATAACCATGAAACAAACCATGTGTGACTTGCCGGGAGGAGGAGGTGAAGCCTTTCGATGACATCAATTTTAATCCACTGAAACATTGGCCTGCACATGTGACAGACCCAGGACAGTGCACAGCTGTCTGATCACTTCCCGTGCAGGGAGGAGCCTTCTTGCCTCTGGAAAATTAAAAAGCTCTGGCTACTTTGTAGGAATGACAAAGAGGTCTCAAGAGTATCTCTGGCCAACTCAGAGCCCTGCGTCTCTCTTGGCCTGCAGGAACCAGAGTTATTATGGAGCACAAGGGGGAAGGAAGTTTTTAGAAAAGCGTACCAAACCTGACTTCCTTTAATAGCCTCTCTTTAAAGGAACACTTAACTTGATAAGTTTACATTTTAATACCGCACCCATCCCTATGATGGGTTATCTAGAGTTATTAAAATTGAAATAACTCTTTTGCAAATACACTCTGTATATTTTTTTCCAGCTGGACAGTAGACTGGTGGTTTCACTTTACCATCTATTTCACTTGCATATTCTCCTGCACTAATCCAGTGCTGAAACAGTTGGTTTGCCAAAGCTGCGCAGTAATAATTTAATCTACAAATGGTTTCCACTGGAATAAAAAGCTAAGACTAGAAATGCTTTGCTGCTAGTCTGTCTGGCTTAACTGTCGTTGTGGTAGGAACCTTAGAAAAGCATGAAACTGGATCGGTTTCAATAAGCAGTTTTGAGCTCTCTTGATTTGACAGAGAGAAGAAGATTGGCCCAATAGAGGTTAGCATCTAAAATCAGTAAAAGGCTGCAGGTTTGCTGCCAGCATCTGGGGAAACTTTAACAGTTTGTTCAGAGCGCTCTGGGCTTAAAACTGTCTGAACAAAAAGGACGGCTGGGCTGAATCAGACCAAACGTGCCTCTACCCAGGCTTCTGTTGCCAGCCGCGGCTGAGGAACAGAGCAAGGTTAAAGCACTGCTCTGCCAATTAGTAGCTCAGTGACTCGCTGAGCTAACAGGAGTGTTTTGAGAATATTTTCACCTTTTCCTTCCTCTGTGTAGTTGGTAGAGATCATCCCTGTTTTTCAGAGGAAAACACTGAAGCATGTTGGTCTTGCGGAACTGTCAGTACTGACATGCAGTTGCCTGCTCTCGCACCAGGCGATGCTCCCTCTGTGCCAGGCTCGGAGAGTTGCTCCAGATAGAAACGTGGGGGCGTTTGACATGTGACGGAGCTTGCACACGCTGGGTGTCTTGGCAGAATGGCTCTGCATGCAGCTGCCACAGACTTCGGCTCTGTGTAACTGGCTGGCCTATTTTCCTTCTCCCTCTCTCTTCCCTTCCTTTTCTCACTTGAAGGCGATGCACTTCTTGATGCTGGTGAATCTATGAAACGATTGGCTGAAGTGAAGGACTCGCTGGATATTGAAGTCAAACAAAATTTTATTGATCCCCTCCAGAACCTGTGTGACAAAGACCTGAAAGAAATCCAGGTAAACCCCAAGATTTTTTTTCTCTCCTCTTCATCTCTTTGGATTCTGGCCTCTTCTGGCTATTAGTGCATGTAATCGCTTGCTCTGCCACAGTGGGAATCCAGGTGGACTCGCATAGGTATCGAGTCTGTTCCCCTGCACTTTATGGACTTTCTCTCATCAGATTCACTAGAATTCCCTCCCCCTCAGTGTGCTCAGCATCACTGCTGCTGCTACTGCTCCTGACCAGCTCACAAGACTGGATGTAAGTTTGAACGGAGGTACTTCGTTAACCTGGCTCGCTTTGTGGAGCATACTTTGTGACAGTAAGCCCTGACTTACGTTCTGGGATTGCTGAATTTGGTTCTTTGTGCTGCGATGTCCCAATCCTGTTCCATTCAGGGCTGCCTTGTGTTAAACGTCACAATGTGCTTCACTGGTGTTGGCTCTGTTGCGTTAACATCCCAGATCCCATAACGCAACTTTCAAGCTGTGAGTGAGCTTCCCTCTAGGCCTCTTACGTAGCAAACGTAGAAGGCCCTGCAGTGTCTCGCTAGGGAGACGTAGAGCTTGGTAGCTCCCTTGTGCTATCTGGGAGACAAGTAAAAGCCAAAGCATGGCCAGGCTTTTAATAGGATCCATCCAAACCTACATTTCTCAGGGCAACTCTGAGTGTTTTCTCACTTACAGCAGTGTCCCAGGTAAAACAGCTGTCCGCTATAGTTTCAGTACTTTCAGTGTCTATTGGACACCCCAATTCTGCTGGCTGCTGTAGAGCTAATTTAAACAGCCCTGCCCTAAGTGGTCAGGGGATGCATTGCTCAGAACCTGCATCCCAGTTCCTAATTTCCCGAGATCCTCATGGTCCACAAGGAACTGAAGGTATTGGGCTAGCTCTTCATCCTCCCGAAACAATTGCGTGGAAAACAGACCTGAGCTGCTTACTACAGTTCTGTTTCCCTCCAGCCCTCAATTACAAGGGCATCTTTAAAAAGCATCTTCTCATCAGTTGGTTGAGAGTTTTTTCTTAATAGAGAGTACCCACAGCCACAGTCGTAATCGTCTGCCAACCTGAGTTTGAACAGTCTAGTCCTCCTTGCCACCTCCTAGCAACCTTGACCTGCAGCTCTCCATCACCTGCTGGGAGCTGGGGCCTCCCAGGAGCCTGAATGAAGGTGGGAGCCCCAGAAGCGTGTGCTCTGAGATCAGGTTTCTGAAACAAATGAGCCTAGCCCATAACTAGAGCTGCCTTCTCAAGAGGAGAGCTTGGTTTTGCCCAGCCCCGGCTTCTCCTTCTTTTCCTTTACCGTTCCTAACCATCCGCTCCCCAGCACCATCTCAAGAAGCTGGAAGGCAGACGCTTGGACTTTGACTACAAGAAGAAACGACAGGGGAAGATCCCCGATGAGGAACTTCGACAGGCCATGGAGAAATTTGAAGAGTCCAAGGAAGTAGCTGAGACCAGTATGCACAACCTCCTAGAAACTGATGTGAGTGCTTGGACGGAGCGCCTCAATCTCTCTGTCCTGTGTGTGTGTTTCCATGTTCACGAGGGTGGGATTTCTTGAGGGATAGAAGAGTTATAAAGTTCCACTCTCACTTTTCCCTATGTGGTTTTGTTCTCTGATAATCCAGATCTGGGTGCACAGCGCATAGCTTGGCAGGCCTTTATCCTCTCTCTAGCCCCTTCCAGCCTGTGGCCAGAGGAGAGGCTGCTGTTGTACCAAACGGGTTTCTTCTCAGTGTGCATGTGTGCCAGTGGGAACAAGTTTGGACAGATGATGCAGCTCACTTGGGAAGGATTTGAACAGCTAGTGAAGCCCCAAGGGTTGCAGGCAGCGGCCTCTCGTCCTGCTGAGTCTCAGTCAGTGACTGACCTCCAGTATCTGAAATCTTGAATCTTCTCCTAGACACCTGGGAAAGTTGCTCTTTATATGCGTTTCTCAATACATTCTCATCCCCTGCGTGTGACTGGAGTCCCCTGTCAGCTAGGGAGAGCCGTTCATCCTTCCTTGGTGTGATTCTTGCAGATCGAGCAGGTGAGCCAGCTCTCGGCCCTGGTGGATGCCCAGCTGGACTATCACAGGCAGGCAGTGCAGATCCTGGACGAGCTTGCAGACAAACTCAAACGCAGGTGAGTCTTGGGGTGCTGCAGGGACTCCCACTTTTTACAGCCAGAAGCTCCTCCTGTCCTATGTGTCTGTAAGTACCTGGCTGTCCCTCTAGGTTTATCTCCTGGTATTAAGGCCACTTCTTGCAGTCACTGCTGCCTCAATCCAAAGCTCCTTTGGATTGGAGGAAGCAATAGCAGCTGCACAACCCATTTTCAGTTACAGGTACGTTCTGGCATCTGAAGCAAAACCTCTGTGCTTGCTCCATGAGTAATTGATGTCTGCTGGTTTGAGTTGTGCCTGAATTAGGATGTGCTGCTCCCAGGAAAGCTGAGGTTGAATTTGGCAGAGGAAAGCCAAAGAGATCACTTTCTTAAAGGCTGTCTCTCTGAGCCCCCCAGGCCAGACTCCTCCTTTTCCAGCAAGCCCTGGCTCTTCCTTCAGTTTACGTGAGAGTCTCCTGGTAGACACTGCCGCAGATGTGGCACTACTGTACATGCCCTGGAGCTTCGAGCCTTGCGTGCCTGCTCATGAAAGGCAGATTGGCTTCTGGTGCAGAGGAGCGTTCCCAGGGGCTCTACCTGAGGGGTAGTGCTGGGCACTCCCTGGTGGGCCATGGAGACACATGGCCTTGTTGCTCTCCCTGCCCCTCCTTGAGTGCCCGACCTCCACACGCTCCCTGCGGCCCCAGAGAACACGCAGCTGCTGCTGAAGTGCCAAGTAACACAGAGCTGCTGTTGAAATAGCTAGTGAGCTGTTTCACGTGACTGCTGTGACTTGCACAGTCCCTCTTCCTGCTGCTCTGTCTTACCTGAGCAAGCATCTCCCCAAGCTCTGTACAAGGAAGGAGAAGTAGATTTATTGTGTCTGAGACTTCCCTCCTGAGCCAGGGATGTGCCTTCGTCAGCCTGATGCAGAGTGGCTTGGACAGAGCCAAGGCAGTGTGTTTCCACTTCTCAGGGTGATTTAGCGATGCTGCCGTGCTGTTCATTCGTCATACAAGAAATTGCTGAGTGGCTGGTATGTCTGGTTTGAATTAAGAAGAACTGGGAGTATCCTGCCAGTGTGAGCTTTCGAGCTGCTGCACGAGTGTCCTCTGCTGGCCTGAGAGCAATACTTGCCTGAGACATCTCCAAAGCAGAGTCCAGGGCGTCTTGCCCTCTCTAGGGCCAACATGAAGGGGAGCTCACAAATCCTGGGGAAGATCCATCTTAAAAATGCCCCAGCACAGAGGGTTGCACAGATTTGTGCGTACAAAAAAAGCCAGTCCGCTCCTCTGCGTAGCCACCAAGGAGAATGGATGTCACGTTGCTCAGAGTTCTCTGTGTCAAATTCTGCCTTTAAATACAGCCTTGCAGGACCGGCTCAGTCCCAGGCCTGAGATGGAGACAGCTAAGACTTGCCTCTGTGCAGGTGCGAGGGGCAGGTGATACCTGCCTTGATCAGCAGGAGCTGTCAGGGATGCAGGAGGGAAGGTTTCCTGTTCTAGCCTTGACAAGACCACAGCATCGTTTCTCCAGAGCATTCACAGCAACAGGCGAGACATGAGTCGATCTCATCGCACTCAGTGTCACTTCAATTTAATCAGGTTTCTTTTCCTTCTTCTAGAATGAGGGAGGCCTCCTCACGTCCCAAGCGAGAATACAAGCCCAAACCCAGGGAGACATATGACTTTGGAGACACTGACCAATCTAACGGAGGCTTCTCTTGCAGTCCTACCCCCAAAGTCTCAGGTAAAGTTGTCCCACGTATGTGCACGCGGGTGTCTGCAGAGCATGGGCCGTCTCTTGGGGATGGAGGGGAATTCTCTGCCTGGAAATACTATTTCTGGTGTGCTGGATGTGCCTGTGTGAGCTGGTGGCTCTGAAGATGTCTGAAAAGCCTCGACACTCAGGCTGTTTTCTCTTGGGGCCTGGCAGCGTTCATTATCTTGGCTTTGGGGAAGTCCTAGCAGGGCCTCCAGCCTGGGTCACTAACCCTTAGCGTCCAGTCGGTGCCAGCAGTGGCAGAGAGGAAAAATTAAATATATCTCACTCCCTCCCTGTCCTCCATCACGCTGCATTCATCCCTCCCTGGTTCCGATGAGGCAGATGGGTTTCTAACGCAGCATGCAGGATGCCCTGTTTTTCCTAACAGATCCTCCCTTTGGGGCCTGCCTTTCCCTCTCTCCAGTTCACATTGTTTTAAGCATGTCTCTTTTTGTTTGGAAGCAGCTTCCTCCTCTTTCCGATCCGACAAGCCGTCCCGGGCCTCCGTCAGGAGTATCCGTGAGTTTCCTCCCTCTGCACTGCATGACGTGTGACCATCTCTCCTCATCTCTCCTTGCTCCACCTCCATTTGCGCTGCTGCTTGGAGCCACTAATTCCTCTGTGCCTGGCCAGCAGATCAGCTGAGCTAAACCTCTACCAAGGCCCAAGTTAACACAGCGGTGTTATACTGATATTTACTGCCCTCAAACTTGGGCTTTTGCTCCCCTGGAGCAGCTGTCTTCATGTAGGCGTGTCTGCTGAGACCACAGAGATCAGATGCTCCTCCAGGAGGTGTCAGACATCTCAGTGACTACCCATTCCTGATACAAGCAACCCAGCCCTGATCTCTCCTGCTCATAGTATCTGCTGCCCCCATATGCTACAGCTGAAGGCTGGGGACAGAGTGGGTAGTGCTTAGAAACACCAAGTGGGATTTGTGGCAGATGCTCCCGGCTGGACAGCAAGGAGCCTTGAGTGGGTCACGGGAGCGAGGAAGGCCCTGGGCAGGGTTTGCAGGTCAGCGTTCCTGCCAGAGGGGCCTGGAGGGCTCTCGTTGGGGTGCAGAGGCCAGGCTGGTGCCATGGCTTGGAGCCATTAGAGTGGGTAAAGTGTGGGGCTTGTAGTGGTGTGGCTGGTGGACAGGAAGACTTGAGGCTGGTGTAGAGGAAGTGCTGTGGTTGCCGGACCAGCTTGGTATTTTGGGAAGCTGTCTGAAAAATGGACCTGCTTTGGCTGCTGCTTTTGGTGTTTTCTGGGTCCTCTTTTAGTGTTGGTTTCTTCCTTGCTGTGGATGTTCAGCAAGCCAGCTGTGCTGTCTTTGTCGTGCTGTTTTCCCCATCCTGTCTGGGAGAACTCTAGCACAGAGCCTCCTCAGGCTCTGGAGCCGCAGGGAGGGGAAACGAGGGCCACGAGAAGACCGTGGCAGTCTGTGTTAGCTCCATCTGTTTTCAGTAAGGTCCCTACAACCACGGTGCCTGCCCATCTCGGAGCTTTTATTTTAGTGCGTAAAAAGAGCAGGCAGCAGCTTTCCCTGCTACAAAACACCCCTAATCCTGTTTGCAGTCTAAAGGCCTCATGCTTAAATCATGTAGCTGAGATGTGGGAAGGAGATCTGAGTTCTCCCTTGCCGTTGGCCCAGCCCTGGCTATCTCGGGGGCCTCACGTGCGTCACCGTGCTGCTAATTGCCAGAGGGGGTTGAAGCCCCCTGCCCGGAGAGGCAGCGGCAATGCAGAGCCTCTTCTCCGAGAGGCCGCTCTGCAGCAGGGCCTCTCCCTCCCATCGCCGTCAGGCCTGGGGGTGACTCCTCTGGAGCAGATAAAGCATACAGAGCTGGCCGGGAAATCCCTGCGGCTCTTCCTCCCTCGCACATGGGTATGGATAACCCCATCATCGACTAACCGACTAACTGGACAGCAGGCTGTCATCGATGGAGGAATAACGTGGCTACCGCTTCTGCCCGGTTTCCAGCGTGCTGTCCGAGTGGTGCTGTAGTTTAGCTCGGAGTTCAACTTCTCTCCTGGTGCGGTGAGGGGACTCCACCGGTAACAAGCAGCGCTGGGTGCTGTAAGCGAGGGACTGGTTTGGGAGGAGATCACGAAAGGCGATGGTTGGAGCAAGAAGGCAGAGAAATCGTGAGCTAAAAGCCATGCAGGAGTTTGAACTGGCTGAGTTAATGTACTACAGTGTGAGGGCCAAGTTAAGGGACAGAGCCCTGGCGCTTGGTTGGGAAACCAGAGTTGAGCAAGTCCCGGCTCTGGCAGGCTCCGTAATCCAGCATCTGCCAGGGTGAGCGGCACACAGCCGTGCCGGGGCGCCGAGGGCCTGCTCACCTCTCCCGCCTGCTTCTCCCCGCAGCTCACCTGGACCAGCCCTGCTGCAAGGCGCTGTACGACTTCGAGCCCGAAAACGACGGCGAGCTGGGCTTCAAGGAAGGCGACATCATCACCCTGACCAACCAGATCGACGAAAACTGGTACGAGGGCATGATCAACGGCCAGTCGGGCTTCTTCCCGCTCAACTACGTGGAAGTGCTGGTTCCGCTACCTCAGTGAAACAGCATCTCTCCCCGTCCCCCCCTGCCCGCGCCTGCCCCGCGGCGCGCGGGCCGAGCCTGCATTCCACGTTTATCCTGACACTAGGCCTCTCCGGTGGGGC